CACTCTGCTTGATCGGATAGTCACCCGCGAGCCGGCCTCTGTCCGTACATCTTATTTCACATGCACTGCAGGAGGCGCAGCAACCGCGCACTTTACTCTCACACACTTCAGCAACGTGCCATTAACTCGAGTTCAGCATTTGTTTTGCGTGTGAAATGAGACAAACCTCAAGGGTATCATTTGATGAAGTTTGCCAATCCATCAACACAGGTCACCCAGGCCCCCTCAAGGCCCAGGGGATGGTGGGCTTCTCACACCCCGTCAGGACCCTGGACTTGACCATCCTCCCCAGAACTCTTCTGCCTTCCCCAGTCAACTTCACCCAATCCTCCAGAGATGGCCGCTGCTGAGAATTTTTAAAAGCATAAACGAGTTCTCCTTGTTTTAGAACTCATTTAGATGGCATCATACAGCAAGTCCTCCTGTGCCAGCCTATCCCACCCCACGGGTGTTTCTGCGATGCGTTCCTGTTGCCATTGTGCGTAAGAATGCCGCCCTCAGTGCTGGTGTGGATTGCACTGTACTGCTGCGTCAGGCTGTTTATCCATCCACCGGCTGACGGACACATGGGCCATTCCGGTTTTGTCTGGCATGACACAGTGGGAGAAGTGTGCCTGCCGTTCAGAGCCCTCAGCACCCAGAAGCTGAGTAATCACCAGGCTCCAAGTATGTCACTGGGAGCCCTGGCTTTTAGGGGACTCTTCCTCCTGTTGAGCTGAAATCTGCTTCCCTGTCACACTGGCTCAGTGGCCCCAATCCAGCCTCTGGGGAAATGCGTGCTAGGGAAAAGCCCTTCTGACACCCGAAGTCAGCCACCAGGTTCCCCAGGCTCAGCCTCCTTCTTCCCACAGTCCTTTGTCCTGAGGCTTGGTTTCCAGGCTCCAAAAGAGCCCTGGGTGAGAGTCCTCGTCTGAAACCACTGGGAAGGAAACACCCACTTTGGACTCAGCAGTTTCAGCCACAGCTTTTCCCAGAGCGGCTTCCCGACATCCCAGGGTCAAGCTCCACCTCTGAGCAGTGACCCACGACAGGACCCCGTGCTGACATCGTCTTGGTCGGGAAGGCAAAGGACAGTGAGAAACAGTTTCAGGGAAATTTTTAAAAAGACCCAGTGTTGAGGAGCAGAGAGACGTATTTTTGATAGGGAACTAAGCCTTCCTGGACAAGAACGTTCAGGGGAAATTCCAGCCACGGCGGGAGATGGATTCGTCACTGGGGACTGAGAAGTGCAGGGGGATTGTGATAATAGGATAAAGGGAAAGGCTTTTGGTAAATAATAGCAGAGAGCCGGTTATCAGGATAATCCGCCAGCAGCAGGCCGGTGTGGCAGGTCACAGGTCTGCAGGCCAGGGAAGGGGCAGGAGGGCCGGCAGCACCTGGAGGACCGGCAGGAGGCGGCCACTCACAGGCCTGACCTGAGCATGCGGCAGGCCAGCTGGCAGGAAGTGGACGCCTCACACAGGGGCCGGCACAGCACAGCTGCGCGGTGGGGACGGGGGTGGTGGTGGCCAGGTGGCAGCAGGAGGTCCCACAGCCCTGGGTGGGCAGCAGGTGGTGGGGATGCAGCATGGAGCCAGGGCAGGCCATGGTTGTCCGGGCAGCAAGCGCCCTGGTGTCTTCTCCTCTGCCCTCTCCTGTTGATCTCTCTGGGTTTTCTTGTTGAGGTTACTCAGTTCAGGAAACTCTGAGCTGGGGACTCCTGCAACTCAGCAGACCATGTGTTTCCTGGAAACAGAGCCGGGGGTGGCTGGTGAAGGGCTGTCAGTGAGGCCAGGGGCCCGCCTCATGGATGTTCAGGGTCCCCCTGTTGTAAATACTGTCTGGAACTCAACACAAGCACAGTCACAATCACTGCACCAGGGGCCCCGTTTTGACTGAGAAGCTCAGTCATCATCAGGGTCTTCCCGAGTAATGAGAGCCAAGCTATTGGGCTCCATATTGTGGAATAATGATGATGATTATTGGGGGAGCAATAATGCACAGAGGTCTAGCGCTGTGCCAGGCTGTGATTGGCATCTTACGGGGTTATCTCATTCATCTTTGCCAGCATTCGGGGTGGCCGATACCCCATTTTACAGATCATGCAAGTCCTAGATCATTTGCATGATGGGTGCGTGTCCGCGACACTGCAGAGACGCAGGGATCTGGACTGCTTAGTTTCACTCTGGAATCCGTGGTCGTTACCACTGTGCCAAATTATACTGGGCTCAGGGTTCAATACGTGGCTCATCCTGAAGTCCTGAACCAGCTGGGACGGAGAAGATGGATGAAAACATCGGCCATGTCGGCCTCTGCAGAGCATGGCTCAGGCGTGTGACCACAGTGGGCTTCCTGACACCACACTTCAGAAAAGCCCACTTCACACGAGAAGCACTAGTGGCCACAGGCCGCCACCTCTGCAGACGGAGCCCAGGAGGACCCATCATGGAGGGGGGCCTGAGCTACTCCTGTCTGGTTCCTCTCCCACGCTGAGGCTCTGATCAGTCTCACCTCTGCAGAGGCAGCGTGGGGGAGAGTGAGGAGCTGGCGTGAAATTCCAGGATGCTCCTGCACTTGGGAAGCAGCGGGCAGGAGTGTGGGTGGCACGTTCCTCCTCACACTCCAGCTCTGTTCTCTTGACGGATTGGCCACAGCGCTTTATTCTACGGTGGTGTCACACGGTAGGGGATGAGCCATCTCTCAGGGCAGAGCTACTCCCTCCATCCCAGGCAGCTCCCAGGGGCACCCTCTGCTCCCGTGTGGGTCCTCCTGTGCCTGCTGGTGGTGGATACAGGTGATTCCTGCCACAGAGCCTTTGGACAGCTCAGACACCACGTTAATGAAATCCCCTCCCAGGCTGAAGACCAAGTGGGGTCTCACAGCTGTGGACAGAACTTACAAGTCTACGGATCCAGAGCCGATCGGTGGCCATGTGGTGGGAGTGACCTTAAGGCCTAGGGACAAGCCGGGTGAGGCCACAAGTTCAATCCTGTCACAGGCAACTCCTTTCACTACTATAGCTCAGAATCACACTTAAAAACCAAGAGAATTGGTGCAGCCATGGTGACCATATGTTCTTTTTTTTTTTTTTAAGTGATTAAAGGCAATTTTATTACAGCAGCATGTACTTACTTTATTCTAAAAGAATAGAATTCATAAACAGAAACAGCTTTTATATTTGTTTGCAACCTGCAAAATTGAGTTATTTTGCTGATATAAAATGCTAAGAACTCACTAGAGGACCATGCCACCTTCTGAAAAGGCCACACACCTACTTCTTAAATGTGTTAAAGTTACAGCGTGTCCCAGACTCGTCCAGAGCAAAATAAGCAAGCGACTGACTGCTCTTGGCTGTCCCTTCCCCAGCAATAGCACTGATTGTGTTGGGAAAAGCCACAGAGCAAGGCTGCACAGCCAGATGGAGGAGACTTTATTTAAAGGAAAAATACCAAAATGGCTCTCTGGTGTAGGTGATTTCTACTTTCACACTCAGCTTGTACAGGATCCCCTAACCTTAATTTCTTTTTCCTTCAGGGGCTGATTTGGATTGACTTGTTGAGAATGGTATCCATTATTACTGAGTCAGGAGAGAAAGGGATTTCTGTGGTTACATGTAAACTTGTGATAGGTCTGCAGAAGTTACAGGTGAAGAGGGTAGTGAGGAACTCAGCCACGATCCATCTACGTGAAGGTCACACCAGCTTCATTGTACACTTTGAAGACTTTCTCAATGGCATTGACATAGGCAGCTGTTCTCAGGTCCAATCCCAGGTTATACTTCATGGCTGTGCGCATAATTTGCCTGGCAGATCGCTCCATTGTGTACACCAAGCCAGAATGCACGCAACGTGCACGGATGTGCTTTAGGTTGACTAGGATGAGGCCAGGTGGGCCCTGACCTGCAGGAAGGAGTAGAGGGCATGGGGGGAGGTAAAGGAGCAGGTAAATATCAAAGACGCATCCTTGTTCTTCTGTAATCGACTCGTAAGTCACCTAACCTTTAAAATGGGTTACTTGGTGACTAGGTCATGTAAGACCATATGTGACCATATGGGCGGGTCTCACTCTAGTCTGGTCCTTACTCATTTGGTGCCAGGCTGTAGGGGGTCTCGGCTGGATGTTGGTGTGGGGGCTGGAGTGGGGGCTTCACTCTTAATCCTCCAGCAGCTTCTCTCTGGTGAGCCTGTGGTGGCCTTGCCCTGGGAATACACAGCCCTGCCCATCCCACAGATTCACAGTCAACTCCCACACTGCGAGGGCTGCTCTCCACATGGACCCTTCTTTCTGCTTCTCTGCTCCTTGGACTCCAGGGCTTCAACTGCATGGGCACTGGCCCTTCCTCCTTGGCAGAGTTGGACCATTGTATTTTGCTCAGACTGCAGCTGGTGACACTGCATTTTGGAAGCCTGCCCCAGCAGAGAGCTGGGAAGTGGGAGTTTATCTCTTAAGTTTCTTCTCTCTCAGGAATCACAGTCTGCACTGCTGGTTAACCGCTGCCTGAAAACGAGAGTCTCCTAAATCTCAACTGTATGGTTGATAGAGTAGCCAGTTTTGCATCACTCACTCCAGCAGGTTTCCCAGTGTGATTACATTGTCTATATTCAGTTCTGGTCTCTTCCCCAAAGTTTCTGGTTGATGCAACAGAAGTTGTGGTTCGAGGAGGTTTTTTGGGTACCACTCATGTCTGCTTCAGTGTGGAACTAATGAAGGGAGGCAGCTATCAGGCAGGTGGAGCTAAAACTGCCTGTGCATCACCAATAAATTTGGGCAGGTTCCAAATGTAACAAGAGCTTGAAGAAGGTGCAATTAGTCATGAAACAAAGGGCCAAATAAAAAACATGAGCATCTACAACAGAAAACTGGGTTCCAGAAAACAGCCTTGAGGAAGAAAAACAAGGAAGACAACAGGTGCGTGCTTCTGTGCTGTGGGGACGCCTGGGTCCAGATATAAAGGCTGCCCAGGGAAGCTGTCCCCAGACATCACTGCCCTCTGCCTCGACCTTATCCAGCCACACACCACCATGTGCCATACCAGCTGCTCCTCAGGCTGCCAGCCAGCCTGCTGCGTGTCCAGTCCCTGCCAGGCATCCTGCTGCGTGCCTGTGGGCTGCCAGTCCTCCGTGTGTGTGCCCGTGAGCTGCAAGCCAGCCGTGTGTGTGCCTGTGAGCTGCCAGTCTTCCGTGTGTCTGCCTGTGAGCTGCCAGTCATCTGTGTGCTTGTCTGTGAGCTGCAGGCCCGTTGTGTATGCGGCCCCCTCCTGCCAGTCCTCCGTGTGCGTGCCTGTGAGCTGCAGGCCCGTCGTGTATGTGGCTCCCTCCTGCCAGTCCTCCGGGTGCTGCCAGCCCTCCTGCGCCAGCGTCCTCTGCAGACCCATCTCCTGCGGCATCCCTTCCTGCTGCTGACCATGAATCTCCAGACCCGCTGCTCCCAGTGCAGATGAGGCCACACCTGCACACTCCCCGGATGAGTCCTCAGTTGGTCTTCTGCACATGGGGCAGGTGAAAAGCATGCTCAGTGAACCCTCTGAATTCTGGATCGAGAATATGACAGAATGATCTGGAGCCCTTGCTGACCTTGCCCATTCCCCCAGGGAAGTCCGGGGTCCCAGAGTCATTCTCTGACCCCACGAGAGCCAAATAAACCAGCTTTCCCTATGCAGCTCTGCGTTTCTGGTCTTTGTTTTTTATTTCCATACTCCCCGCTGTCTATTCTGCTGATTACATAGAATTTGCTGCTAAACCCTCTTCAGTGGTCCCTTCACACAATCCTCATCAGAAGGTGGTGTCCCGGGTGGAGGGCACGGCTAAAGATGCCCATATGGTCTCGCCCAAGACTCCCAGGGCCCAGGTGCAGTGGCCACAGCTGTGACTTACCCGCCCGTGGTGGAGTGAGTGGTCTTCCCCACTGGCTGTCCACTCCTGCTCCAGGCCAGCAAGCCCTGCACTGATGGCCAAAGCCTCAGAGGACCAAGGATCAGGTTTTCCCATGTGGTTGGTGGACGTCCTGTTCCCAGGTTGCGGAGGATCTCGGGTTTACAGAACTGGATTAGTTCTGCAGCACACACTCCCATCACTGGTCCACATATGGCACTTTTAAAAAATTGATACATAATATCTTTATGTATTTATGGGGTATATGTGATACTTTACACACAGAGGATATGTAATGATGAAATCAGGATATTCATCACCTTGTCTATCACTTCTCCGTGTTGAGAACATTTTACACTCTCTCTTCCAGCTGATGTGAGACATACAATACATGGTTAACTGTAGTCACCCTATGCTGATATCAAATACTAGAACTTATTCTTTCTGTGTAACTGCATGTTTGTACCCATTAACCAAACTCACTTCCCCTCTAACACACACCCCTCTTCAACTCTGGTAATATCATTCTACTCTACTTCCACGAGATCAACTTTGTAAACTCCCACATGTGAGTGAGAACATGTAATATTTGTCTTCAGTGACCTTTGGTTCCATCCATGTTGCTGCAAATGGCATGACTTCATTCTTTTTTATGGCCGAATAAGATTCCATTGTGAATATATGCCACAGTATCTTGATTCATTTATTTATTGATAGACACTTAGGTTGAATCTGTATCTTTGCTATTGTGAATAGTGCTGCAATAAACATGGGGGTGCAGGTATCTTTTTGATACGCCAATTCCCTATCCTTTGAATAAATAGTAGCAGGATTTCTGGATAGTATGGTAGTTTTATTTTAGTTTTCTGAGAAAGCTCTGTACTGTTTTTGATAATGGCTGTACTAATTTACACTTCCACAAATGAAGTATGAGTTCTCTTTTCTCCACATCTTTACTGGCATCTGTTATTTTTTGTCTTTTTGATAATAGCCATTCTAATTGGGGTAAGATGATGCTATCTCATTCTAGTTTTGACTTCAGTTCCCTGATGATTAGTGATGTTGAGTTTTTTTTTGTTTTTTTTTTTTTGCATACCTGTTGGCCACTTGTATGTCTTCTTTTGGGAGATGCCTATTCAGGTGCTTTGCCCATTTATCAGTGGAATTATTTGTTTTGTTGTTGTTGTTGTTGTTGTTGAGTTGTTTGAGTTCCTTACCTATTCTGGATATTGGTCACTTTTCAGATGCATAGTTTACAAATATTTTCTCCCATTTAACAGGTTGTCTCTTCACTCTGTTGATTGTTCCCTTTGCTGTGCAGAGCTTTTCAGTTTAATATAATCTCATTTGTCTATTTTGGTTTTTGTCGCCTGTGTTTTTGTAGTCTGAGCTATAAACTGTTCGCCTAGACCGATGTCCTGGAGCACTTCATTTATGTTTTCTTCTGGTAGCTTTATGGTTTTCAGGCTTATGTTTAAGGCTTTGATCCATCTTGAGTTGATTTCTGTATATGATGTGAGGTAGGGATCCAGTTTCATTCTTCTGCATGTGGCTATGCAGTTTTCCCAGCACCATTTATTGAGGTTTTTTTTTCTGTATTGTACATTTTTGGCACCTTTGTTGAAAATCAATTGGCTGTAGATATATGGATTTATTTCTGGGTTCTCTATTCTGTTCCATTGATCTATGTGTCTGGTTTTATACCAATACTATGCTGTTTAGCCTTGTAATATATTTTGAAGTCAAGTGGTGTGATGCCTACAGGGTTTTTTTGGTTCCATATGAGTTTTAGGACTGTTTTTTCTACTTCTGTGAAACATGTCATTGGCATTTTGATAGAGAATGCATTGAGTCTGTTGATTGCTTTGGGTAGTATGATCATTCTAACAATGTCATTTCTTCTGATCCATGAACATGGAATGTCTTTCCATTTTGTTTGTGTCTTCTTCAATTTATTTTATCAGTGTTTTGTAGTTTTCCTTGCAGAGGTCTTTCACATCCTTGGTTATATTTATTGCCAGGTATTTTATTTTTAAAATAGCTATTGTGAATGAGATTGTGTTCCATGGTGGGCAGGTCTGTGTAAACCTACCCCTAAAGTTCAAGGAAGCTGAGAGGCCACAGAAAGAGGCTGACAGATCCAGTTTCTCAGAAAGAAACATTTAATAAGGACTTAAAACAGAAGCCATGTGTGACTTGGGTGGTGATAAGATAAGTTGGCGGATCCCTGTGCCATTACCCCATCCACACCCAAGGCTTATATACCATAAGGAAAGGGCATACGTGATTTAGAAGGGCTCTGTAATCAATTGAAGTACAATAACATCAAGGTTGTTTTGAAGCAAGATTTATAGTATGTGCTCTTATACAATGAACAGTAGATTAAACTGGAAATCTTAGAGGCCTTCCAAGAACAGGTTAACTAGAAGTCCATATGGCAGATTAGCATCCAAGATAGAGTTGTTTTAGCCTTCATGGATTGCCTTTTTGCTTACTTTGTCAACTAGTTTGTTATTGGTGTATCAAGACACTATTGATTTTTATATGTTGATTTTGTATCCTGCAACTTTACTAAATTTGTTTATCAGTTCTAAGAGATTTTTGGTGGAGTCTTTAGGTTTTCCTAAATATAAAATCATGTCATGTGCAAAGAGGGACCATTTGACTTCCTCTGTTCCAATTGGGATGGCTTTTATTTCTATGTCTTACCTGATTGCACTGGCTTGGGCTTCCAGTACTATGTTGAATAGGTGTATTAGTCCATTCTTACATTGCTATAAAGCTATACCTGAGACTGGGTAATTTATAAAGAAAAGAGGTTTAATTGGTTCATAGTTCTGCAGGCTATACAGGAACCATAGAGGCTTCTGCTTCTGGGGCAGCCTCAGGAAGCTTACAATCATGGCAGAAGGCAAGAGGGGCACCAATGCTTCACATGTCTGGAGCGGTGTGGGGTGGTACAGGGTGCCACACACTTTTAAACAACCAGATCTCACAAGAACTCACTATTATGACAACACCTCCAACAGGGACAGTGCTAAACCATTCATGAGAAATGGCCCTCATGATCAAATCACCTCCCACCCGGCCCCACCTCCAGCACTGGGGATTACAATTAAATATGAGATTTGGGTGGGGACACAGATCCAAACCATGTCAATAGGAGTGATTAAAATAGGCATCCTTGACATATGCACGCATGCCTCTACTTACTCATACTGCTATGGCAGCTCCCGTGTCCACCAGCAGCACTGTCTGCTCGACAGAGATTCTGTGGGCCTGTCAGTTATCAGGTGTGACCCCCGCTGCCCAGAGTTGTCTCTGTGGGAAGTTTGTCCTCCGCCCATTGCGACCATGCCACAGATACTCTATTTCAGGCAGCTCTGGGTTGACTACTGGCAAAATTGCTGGAGCTGGCCTCTTCTTTGTTGGTGGAGGTATTGGTGGCAGTATCCTGTATGCCAAATGGGAGTCCCATTTCCGGGAAAGTGTGGAGAAAACCATACCTTACTCAGACAAACTCTTCGAGATGGTTCTTGGTTCCGCACCTTATAATGTTCCATTGCCAAAGAAATTGATTCAGTCTGGTCCACCAAAAATCTCTAGTGTATCGGAAGTAACAAAAGTCTAAATAGCCTGGCTCACAACTCCAAAAGCCAAAGGGAGATACTCCAGCTTCAGCAACAGCAGGTGATACGCTGTTGGTCCCTGGGGTTCAGCATGAGGAATCTTTAAAAACTGATCACCCTGAAATTGGTGAAGGAAAACCCACACCCCTCCACTTTCAGAAGAAGCATCCTCATCTTCTGTAAGGGAACGAGCACCTGAAGAAGTTGCAGCTTGCCTTGCACAACAGGAAAAACAAGAACAAGTTAAAATTGAGTCTCTAGCCAAGAGCTTAGAAGATGCTCTGAGGCAAACTCCAAGTGTCACTCTGCAGGCTATTTCAGCTCAGAACGCTGCGGTCCAGGCTGTCAATGCGCACTCCAACATATTGAAAGCTGCCACGGACAATTCTGAGATTGAGGGCAAGAAGAAATCTGCTAAGTGGCGCACAGTGCAGGGTGCGTTGAAAGAAGGCGGAAAGGCAGTAGAGGAAGCTGCTGATGCCCTTCTCAAAGCCAAAGAAGAGTTAGAGAAGATGAAAAGTGTGACTGAAAATGCAAAGAAAGAGGAGGTTGCTGGGGCCAAGCCTCATATAAACTTCACAACACGATAGTTGATCTGGATAATGTGGTCAAAAAGGTCCAAGCAGCTCAATTTGAGGCTAAGGTGGTATCTCAGTATCATGAGCTGGTGGTCCAAGCTTGGGATGATTTCATTACTCCAGAAGTCCTTCCTGGGTGGAAAGGAACGAGTGTTTCTGACCTAGCGGACAAACTCTCTACTGATGACCTGAACTCCCTGATTGCTCATGCACATTGTCATATCGACCAGCTGAACAGAGAGCTAGCAGAACAGACGGCCACAGAAAAGCAGCACATCACATTAGCCTTGGAGAAACAAAAGCTGGAAGAAAAGCAGGCATTTGACTCTGCAGCAGCAAAAGCATTAGAACATCACAGAAGTAAAATGCAGGCTGAATAGGACAGAAAGATGGAGGAAGTCAGAGACGCCATGGAGAATGAAATGAGAACCCAGCTTCACTGACAGGCCGCTGCCCACACTGATCACTTGCGAGATGTCCTTAGGGTACAAGAACAGGAACTGAAGTGTGAATTTGAGTAGAACCTGTCTGAGAAACTCTCAGAACAAGAATTACAGTTTTGTCGTCTCAGTCAAGAGCAAGTTGACAACTTTACTCTGGATATAAACACTGACTATGCCAGACTCAGAGGAATTGAACAGGTTGTTCAGAGTCATGCAGTTGCTGAAGAGGAAGCCAGAAAAGCCTACCAACTCTGGCTTTCAGTGGAGGCATTAAAGTACGGCATGCAGACCTCATCTGCAGAAACGCCTACTGTCCCACTGGGTAGTGCAGTTGAGGCCATCAAAGCCAACTGTTCTGATAATGAATTTACCCAAACTTTAACCACAGCCATCCCTCCAGAGTCCCTGACCCGTAGAGTGTACAGTGAAGAGACCCTTAGAGCCTGCTTTTATACTGTTCAAAAACTGGCCCAAAGGGTAGCAATGATTGATGAAACCAGCAATAGCTTGTGTCAGTACTTCCTCTCCTACCTACAGTCCCTGCTTCTATTCCTGCCTCAGCAACTGAATCCGCCCCGGGAGCTCTGACCTGAGGATATAAACACATTTAAATTACTGTCATACGCCTCCTATTGCATTGAGCATGGTGATCTAGAGCTAGCAGCAAAGTTTGTCAATCAGCCGAAGTGGGAATCCAGACGAGTGGCACAGGACTGGCTGAAGGAAGCCCGAATGACCCTAGAAACAAAACAGTGGAAATCTTGACAGCATATGCCAGTGCCGTAGGCATAGGAACCACTCAAATGCAGCCAGAGTAAGGTCTAGGAAGATTTTCGTAAAGTCATATTTCTTGTCAAGGAAATCAGCAGTGATATATGATGGGTTTGCAACAAGGGTCCCAGCATTGTCTAGAAATGAGCAGGTTTACAAGTACTGTTCTAAATGTGAACACCTGTTGCATTTATATTCTTTCCACTTGCTATCACGCTAGTGAACTCCAGAAGTGCTTTCTTTGCAACTCAGGTAACAT